GCCTTTAAATTAACACATCGTACACCAACACCAATACATACGTACATCGTAAACCACTAACACATCGCACGAGAGATACCATACAAGATACAAATATCTCAGCAAATTTAGTGGGATTTGAATAAGTTCCACCCGATTTCAAATTTTAAACGCTCTGAAGCCGTAACACTACGTCAATAACGATCATAGTTGTTATTAGCTACACCACATAAATTTCCGTTATTAACGTTCATTTGCTACAGATAACTCTACAATGCACTATGGGATCGATGGCATATTTTCAAAGCAACAAATCATATTATAAAGTTAGTCGTTTGAATAAAAACAAGTTAAAAAGCACTAAGTTCGGCCGGGCCGAACTTTTAATACCCTCCACCATTTGCAACGAATTTGGAAATTTTTAAAAAATAAAATCCTTAAAAAATTCTGTTAAAATTTTAAAAATACCGAATATAGCCGTCATATTGGGGTCTATACGACGTGGACATACATACGCATTGTTTGTCATAAGCCATTACCATATTCAAATTGGAAACTTGAAATAAACGGTAAATAATGTAGCTAAAATCATCAAAATATCGCATATAAGGAGGTGCCGTTAAATTGGAGCTGTGCAAAGACCTGGACCAGCATAGACAGTTTTCTGTCACAGGCTGTAGCATCCATTACGAACTTCAAATACCACATTTGAAACAATTTCGGTGGGTATTGTACCTAAAATCGACAAAATACCGAATATGGGGAGGTACTGATATATGGGGCCTATACGAAGACCTGAACCCGCACAGACAATTTTCTGTCACAGACTGTAGTTCCTATAACGAACTTCAAATACCAAATTTGAAACAATTCCCGTGAATAATGTCGTTAAAATCATCAAAATACCGAATATAGGGAGGTACCGTTATATGGGGGCTATATGAAAACGTGGACCTACATGGCCCATTTACGAACTTAACCTGCCTACTGGAAAAATAAACATGTGTGCAAAATTTTAGCCATCTATCTCAATTCATTCGAAAGATAGCGTGATTACAACAGACAGACAGACGGACAGACAGACAGACTGACATCGCTAAATCGACTTAGAATTTTAGGCTGATCAAGAATATATATACTTTGTTGGGTCTGACATGAGTATTTCGAGGAGTTACAAACGGAATGACAAAGTTAATATACCCTCCATAGTATGGTGGAGGGTATAAAATTAAGGGAATTACAATTAAAGAAATTACATGCATTATTAAATATAAGAAGAAATGTTAAAGTTCTACATTTACTCTTGGGTGAATTTGTAGTGTCTTTTAATATAGTTTTGTTTTTGTTCACGTAGCTTAAAGCTCAACATTCGGCTGGACAATCAGCGCAAATAATCCCGTACATGTAATAAACCAGATTTCACCTATATTTGAATAAAATATTATCGACAAATATTTTACAACCATGAAAATGTTAATTAATAACATTTATGCGTTTAAAAGACAACAAGTAAAAAATCAGCTAAGTTCGATCAAACTGAATTTTCGTATACCCTCCAGCATTTGGAACGAATCTGAAAATTAAAAAAAAAAAAAAATCCGTCGAAAAATACCGCTCAAATTGAAACATTTACAGGGTGATATGAAAAAACTGCAACCAACTTCAGACTGCTGCCATTTCTAAGCCACTCGTCCGACAGTTGGTAAAATTATTACAGTAACAGCTCATTATATTGTTTACAAGCGGACAAAAGCAATTTGGTGAGAATTTTCCAAAAAAAAAAATGTTATTCGTGATGGAATTGAAGCGTGATAGTGTGATTTCTTTATATTTGGCTGGAAAATCATAAGTGGCTATCTTTAGAGCACTCCAGCATTTAAATGTGAATAAATCGTATCTCGTGATGGAATTGAAGCGTGATAGTGTGATTTCTTTATATTTGGCTGGAAAATCATAAGTGGCTATCTTTAGAGCACTCCAGCATTCAAATGTGAATAAATCTTGTCTCGAACAGCAACATCAGCAGAAATGGTTCGAAAAGTAAAGAAACGACTTGATCGAAACCCGCGTGACAGTGGCCGAAAAATGGCCCGTGAGCTGAACATATCGCAATATTCCATTCGGCAAATATTGAAAAATGAGCTTACCCCTAGCCATTGAAATTCCAGAAAGTGTAAGAACTAACACCGCAACAAAAAGGAAATAGACTCAAAAGAGCCAAAATATCGTGTTTACTTGCCAAAGAGGTCAGCTGAAAATGTGCACCTTCGGCTGTCCACCAAAACTCAACTCAACAAAACTCAAAGGTGACCAATTCGAACAAATCTAAACTTGTTCAATAAAATTATTTGATTAAATTTGCCGAAAAGGTTCGGAAAGAACGTAATAACTGTATGATCTATTTAAACCATAGACAAATAAAAGTATAGACTAAAAAGTTTTAATGCTTACCCTCCCGGCAGAGGCCGCCATGATCATTGGGGCAGTAAAATCACTCAGGGATAGTAATGTCACCCGACTTCGGAAACAATTTATTCATTTTTCTGCTATTTAAGTTGATTATTTTTATACTTCAGGACTTAGTTGGAGAATGTAAATGTAATCGAAGTCACTGCCTATTCGATATTTTGTGTTTTGAGAGAATTGAGTGAACCCAGCGGATTTTTTTGCACATACATCTTCCAACTGAGACCACTGACAATGTAGGTGCGACCCATACAAAACCTGTATTTACACAGCGATGGCCTAGGCCGTCAGACGAGTCCGAAATCTACCGACAATGTAAGCGAATGTTGGATGGGTCCGAAATCTACCGACATTGTAAGCGAAGGCTGGGTGGGTTCGAAATCTATCGACATCCGATTCAGATGCAAGTGCGGTGGGCACATTTTATTATATTTTGTTTTGTTCTCTAATTCTAATATATATTTTATTTCACATTGTAATAGCAATAGGACTCATCTAAATCGAATGCTAGTTGCTGGGTATTGAAGCGTTTTTTTTTCGTAGATAGCAGATGAGACTACTGTTCATTCTATATCTTTATTTGTCTATGCTTAAATGGATCATACAGTTATTAGGTTTTTTCTGAACCTTTTCGGCAAATTAAATCGAGTAAAGGACAAAAGTCGGGCTGGTCCGACTATATGATACCCTACACCCCTATGCATTGCGCTATGGGGCCAATGGTATGTTTTTGAGGGACAAAGAAGACCCTCAAAAGTTCGTTTTTCATAGCTGGATATGATGAGAACAACATCTGCTAAATTTCTTTCGAATCGTCAAGAATCAGCGGAGTATCAACAATTAGCAAAATACGTATCCCTAATACATAGGAAAGTGAGTAAGTTTAAAGCTTTAAGAATACTAAAAACCCTACATTATGTAATGGGCGTACTGACCCTACTATTATATTTCTTAGATCGAAAAAATTAGGCAGTGCATCTTTTAGCTGTGTGTGACAAAATACCTATTGAAGACAATAACCGTGAAGTAGTCTTTTTCAGGTCACATTTGGATAATTTTGGGAAAACCCAGTGAGAATCAAGTGTTATCGAAACATACCAGGACAAAGTCAAACGATGTAAAGTGAATCCCACTAATATTTCTATTAGAGCTGGTTTGTTCCAGAACGAACTAGTGCAAACGATCTATTCCGCGAATGGACAAATCCGAACTAGATCCAGCTCTTTATGTCCTCTAGTTCCTTTTGTATAACTCATTTTGTATCGTCCTCTTCGTCCTGCCACATTTTAAAATAAACGTTGTTTGTACACATATTGAATATCACTTTGCAAACCACACAACTCGGGTGTACAAATCATTGTTCCGAAAGAACAATGGAGGGAAAAAGAGCGATGAAAGAGAAAGATTTTTTAATAAATTATTTCTAATCGGAACTCTTTGGAACAATGAAACTATATTTAGGAACAAGTTCTTTTCCAAACCAGTAAAGAAAGTCTTAAGTTTTTATGGGATAATTAAATCATACGGATAAAGATATATATCGATAAAATTTGGCATAAATAAAATGAGTTGTATTTGATATATGTGCATATTACGGTTGTGGGGAACAAATATATATATATATATATATATATATACATATATATCCCATACGAGAAGTTTTGTATTTTCTGTAGGACCAAAAGTACAATATTTTGCACACATATAATGTCGATAATAAATACGAAGGACTTCACTTGACACATACTTCACTTGGACATTCTGTTATAGTGCAACGTAGTAAAGAGAACCTCCAGCTTACTTTACTAACATTACCAAAAGTTAAGAGTATTTTTGTATATACATGTGCATACTTTAGGCAATCTCAATGGATAATGGAGATTTTGAATGGACATTTAAAAACGAACAGTAAGAAAAATCTATACTGTGAACGCCTAAGACTACGTTTGCTGGGTTTACACACATATAGCATATATGTATGTTTTTGGAATATGCATACATACGTATGTATGAACACTGTACACTCATATGGATTATGGCATGACGCACATCGATACAAACACATAAATACTAATGAAAAAAAAGAAAGAATTTGGTGAGGTCAAAAGTTTATGCAGTTGCATTTTTCTCATGTTGTGTACATGTTATGTACATGTGTGTGACTGTATATGTATGTCTGTGTGTGTGTGTTTTCTAATTTCGAGCTTTAAATTAAAATTGATTGCCATATTCGGAGAGCTGTGTAACGAAACATTTTTCTTTGACTGAAAAAGGAGGATTTTAGTATCTGTGTATGCAACACAATACACCAATACAAACACACACACACACATGGTGCGCACACAGCCATACTCGTATGCAGCAACCAATATCCAAAAAAGCATCATTCCGAAACACAAACACACACACACGGATAGGAACTTCGACATGGTTTAGGAACATGTTAGATGGCATGTGAACGAATGTGTGCCGTTATGGGCCAGTAAAAATATACATACGGCATGTCTATACATGCATCAGTATTCCAGTATAAATGTGTATGGTTATGTACTTACATTAGGCAATGGAAACCCGTCCAAATGCCAAACAATTTTCGGTGTTGGATTGCCAGTTGCGCTGCATTTCAATGAGACCGAGGGTCCGGGCTGCATGGTCTGTTCAATGAATTTGTAGATAAGCTGGGGTGCAACTTCTACGTTTTTTTTTTGTTCGTTTCAATTTAATTCCAAAATAGAAATTCAGGAACGAAGCAGCACATATCGAAACAGAAAGATGGAGAGAAAGAAAGACAAATAGAATGGCAACATACCAAACGGCTTTGCAGGCGGACATTACTTACCTCCCAGCCTTAGTTCGGCAGTGGCCTGTACAGATTCCAAGTCGTTCTTCACCATACACTGATACATACCCTTGTCCTCCTTGGTGATGGACGTAATACGCATATGTTCTTTGGAAAGCAATCGAACCCGGGCACCGGCGCGCAGTGGATGGCCATCCTTGAGCCAGGAAATGCTCTGTTTGGGAAAACCTGATATGCTGCAAATCTAAAATTCAAATTAATGATGGTTAGAATAACAAATCCAGGCATCGTTGAGTGTCGAGCAAAACGGAGCAGGCACAAAACCCGTAAAAACCACAAACGTTTTTTAAGTTTCATGGCTTGGATTAGACCGTGCAAACATTTCGCTTCACATTATTATCATTGCATGTAGATGAGCTTTGGGTAATTGGATTTATATTTCCAAGCCTTTTGGAATTACATTGCCATGCGGTATGATACTCACCAGATCCGCTGTCTTTCCCAAATTCACAGTTTGGACAGTAGGTTGGATGGCCGCAGTGAGCGGCGATGTGACGGACATTTGCACCTCAAGTGTTTCACTGCCCTCCGAATTGGTGGCAGTGCAAAAGAAAGCTCCATTGTCCGTCTTGTCTACCGCTGTTATGATGAGTGTACCATCCTTTATTTTCGCCCGGCCTGTAGCGAGTAAGTGTTGTATGGATTCTTCGTTGTTTGCACGTTTCGTATGCCAGCTGTGAAAAAATGATGGACTGATTTTTAAATTGAATTAACTCGAATGTCTTTTTTCAGAATCTGAAAAATTTTATGGGTTTTGGATCAGCGAGGACTTAGTAAAGCTCTGCCTTTCGAGCACACTGAAGTAGATGCATTTCATGTTCGCAGACATTTTAAGTTGCAACATAAAAAAATAACAAGAGAAGTATCAATTTTCCTTTGAAAAATGTGACTAATATCACCAAAACCTCGAATATCCTTACGTTTTCGTTAAAGTTATTTTTTTAAAGTTAAAGTGATTACTACGGACAGCCAGACACAGTGGTTATACCTCCTCCATGCTGTGGACCCCATTAAAAGCCCTATGTAAAATGTCTGGCAAATATACTCCAAGAAATGTTTATTTAGGGAAGGCCATTTTGGAAATGCCCTCAAATACTTTCAAGCTTTTTTGTTAAGTCTTTGGCGGTTTTGAGATACCAATGCATATATCAGCATCGTAAAAGGACAATAGTTCAGCTAGAGCGAATACAGAGAGAGAGAGAGAGAGAGAGTCAGAGATCTATTAACAAGTGTATTATATGCAAAATATTATTGGGCAAATTTGATTGCAAAAAATATTCATTTACAGATCGCTAGGTACCACACTTGCCTACAAATTTTTAAGTAACAAAACTGTCTGTTCTTTGTCATTTCCATTTCTCGTTGAATGTTTTGTTATAGCCACGAAAGCATTTTAGTACATTTTTTACAAACTTTTTCCCCAAATTTAAAAATTTCCTAAAGAAATGGATTTATTTTTTTTGGTACTTCCTCAAAGCAAATGTTTAAAAACAGCCAATATTTGGGTACAGATCAAATATACTGGCATAATTTTAATTTCCTTTTTATATCGAGTTCTCGGTGGTTAGGCCAAGGTGAAGAGTTTAAAACCTTTATAACTACACCATTTTCTATAGAGGCTCCATGGTTAGCCGCATTGATTAGGATAGTGATTCTGTTTGAAACATTTGTTTTCTTTTACAAAAAAAAAAAAAAAAAAAAAAAAAAAAACAGTAAAAACGCAGTAAGCATAGACTGTAGTTCCCATTACGAACTCTAAATACGAAATTTTCCGGTAAATAATGTCGCTAAAATCATCAAAATACCGAATATTGGGAGGTATCGTTATATGGAGGCTATACGAAGACGTGAGCTTGCATACGCAATCATCGAAATATCGACTATCGGAGGGTACTGTTATATGGGGGCTATACAAAATCGTGGACCGATATAGCCCATCTTCGAACTTTACCTACCTGTAGACAAATGATTGATCTGTTCTTCATATCTTTATACGTTTTGACTCTACGGACAAGGCTAGATCGTTTCAGAGTTTTACGCTGATCAAGAATATATACACTTTTTTGGTCTAAAACTATTATTTCGATGAGTTACAAACTCAATCCTATGTGTGGTGGAAGGTATAAAAACAATAAAATTAAGCCCAACCATTTTGAAATAACAAAATAACTACGATATTCAAATGAGCCCCAACACTCTTCTAATTATAAGATTACACTGGGCAAGGACTAGTTACCATTTGGATTATTGTCAAAACAAAACCCATAAATACATCCAACTACGTCAAATAGTGAAGAAATATCTGTAAATGTTATTCCTAGGCACAGTTAGAAGAATACCAAATAAATATTAATTTCCCGTGTCTCTGTTATGCCTCATTCGGCATGCTTACGATCGACATTGGGATCGTAAGCACTGCATTGTCCCTTGGAATATAAAGTTATTTTTATACCCTCATAGCAATGGGGGGTATATTAAGTTGGTCATTCTGTTAGTAACACCTCGATGTATACATTTCAGGCCACGCAAGGTATATACAGGGTGAGATGAAAAAAACTGCAACCAACTTCAGACTGCTGCCATTTCTAAGCCACTCGTCCGACAGCTGGTAAAATTATTCCAGCGACAGCTCATTATATTGTTTACAAGCGGACAAAAGCATTTTGGTGAGAATTTTCCAGGAAAAAAGTTATTCGTGATGGAATTCAAGCGATATTCCATTCGCAAATACTGGAAATGACTTCGGGGTAAAGCCAATTGAAATTCCAAAAAGTACAAGAACTTACACCGCAACCGAAAGAAAATAGACTCAAAAGAGCTAAAGAGATGCTTCGCTTGGCCGAAAGTGGTGAACTGCCGAATTTGGTTTTCTCCGATGAGAAAACATTCGTTATCCAGCAGTTTCTAAACAAACAAAATTATCGTGTTTACTTGCCAAGGAGGTCAGCTGAAAATGTGCAGCATTGGTGGCCACCAGAACTCAAGCGCCGGCCATGGTGATGGTGTGGGCCGCCATACAAGCCGATGGTATTAATTGACCGTGGCATCAGAATAAATGCCGAATATTATCGCGAAAATATTCTGGAGGGTGTATTAAAGCCTTGGGCAAGCAAACATTTTGGCCGCAGACCTTGGACATTCCAACATGACTCATCATTCGCCACCAATTAATGGTTACAAAATGAGGTTCCTCGATTCATTTCCAGCGACCAATATCTCCGGATACCAATCCGTTGGACTAGTGATCGAAATGAAGTAGGTTGATAAAATTCTACTCAGGAGTGTTTTAGATCTGCTGGATTTTTAGTATTGCAAATGGGCTATATAAATCCACGTCTATATAACTATTCCGAGAGATTTAAGGGTTTTTGACATTCAAGTCACAATTTCAAACCAAATTTACTGTAAATTGGGATTATGTGTTCGCAGTATGTATCGACATTTTTATGATTTGTGTCACAGATTTCGTCGGAATTGTTTCAAGTTCGCGTGGTCTTTGACGTTCGCAATGGGTACTACCTCCTAGGACAGAAAATTTCTATAAAAGATGAACACATATAGTCCCATATAACTGTGTATCCCAATATTCGGTATACTCATGTTATTAGCTAAGTTTTTCAACAGAATTACCTCAAACTTGGTATTTAGATAATTGACTCTAAAGGTCTACGATTTCGTATATTCCATATTCGGTATTTTGATGATTTGTGTCACACTTTTTACTGAAATTTTTTTATGTTTTATAGAAAATTGGCTATACAGGTCCACATCTTCGAACCTCCCTATATTCGGTATTTTGATGATTTTAGCCACACTTTTCACAAGAATTATATCAAATTCGAAATTTGGAGTTCGCATTGGGTACTGATTTTTATGACAGAGAATCGCTTATACAAATTGACAACTTCGTGTAGCCTCCATATACCGGTACTCCCAACATTCCATTGATGATTTTAGCTACATTTCCCAACAGAATTATCTTAAACTTTGTGTTTGCAGTTCACACACTGCACCACCATAGCTGGCAGATAATTGGCTATAAAGGTCCACGTTTTCGTATACTTCATATAACTGTAATACCTGATATACGGAGTTTTTTAAAAATATAGCGGCTTATTTCAAAGGAATTGTTTTACGTTCCTAGGTTCCTACCAAACGTTGGATGATATTAAAAGTTCACCTTGTAAAACTTAGCATGTGAAACTTAACATCACCCTGTGAAACTTAGCATTTCAACTATTACATGAACATTCTACCTTTTTAAGGTGAAAACAACAACAACAACAAATTGATTAAGCCCAACCATGAATCAAAAATAGGGTGCCATCCATTTATAACAGCCCCCGTGAAACAGCTCAACTCAATTCTTAGTACTGTAAAGTTCTTAGGCATATTTTCCATTAAAAAGGTCGTCACTATTGATTTAGTTTGTAACACCTCATAAAGGTCGTATCTTGATCACGATAATCACGATAAAGGTTGCCATACATAATATAACTCTTTAAATTTTGTGTTCCTAGGAAGATTGATATTAAAAATTGTATATAGCATAGGTCGCATAGGTATCTCTGAATATTCTTCGACCAAATGAGTCATAATTTGACATTTCAGTTGTTTAGTTTATCCTTTAATACTGGGTCACTTCTTTAGCTCATTGATGATTTAAGGTGTTTTGAACTTTTCAAAAACATATTTGAGGATATAAATTAATTCGGCAGAAAATTTGCAATAAATGTTCACAATTTGCTTTACTACTATACGTCGATCGCCTTTTTACTCCATTTTTGGGTTCTCAATAAATGGAAACTTGATCCATGTTCGATATTGTCTCCATATTGCTGCACAGAAACCTAAAAACGTTTTCATAGACCTCATTTATTTTTCACAGTATTCAAGACGATTTCTATAAAATATTATGGGTTTCCCATCGTATATCCCGAAATAGCATCTTATATATCCTTGGAAATTCACCCAGAGAAAATAAAAACCGCTATAAAACGGCTTGTGTTACACCTTTTCCATGAGCACTTTATTACCGTGTCCGGGGTGTGAACTCACATTTATATCACTTTGATTTGAACAGAAATTAAATGATAGGGAAATAGGAAGGGCAAACGTTGCACCAAACAACAGTTGAAGAAGGAAAAAACAGAACAGAAGCAATTTTCCATATCAAGTGTGCTCTTCTAGATAAATGTTATAAAAGTCTTCTTCAATTATGTTTAACTCCTCGCCACACAGCACCGTCGTCCCCACTGCAGCTAGGGCTGCGCATCAATGCAAATTGATGTCGAACTATTTTCTTGCTCAGTTTCAATATGCGATGTTCTCTGCCTCCGTTTTATGGCAATTCCATTTTATTTCCTTCTGGCCATAAGGTTAGTGGTTGATAGCTGGTTGTTGGCTGCTGCTGCTGCTGTTGTTGTTGTTGTTTTATCATCACACAAGGACCATAAACTACTGGTGGTTACATTTGAATACCCTGCCATGGGGAGTGTCGAGAGGAGGCATGTGACGAAAGGAGTACGAACACATAAATTCATTGTGGCAGAGAACATTCAAACTTATTATATTGGTCGTATCCTTTCAACCACTCGGACATATAGAACAAAGTTGAAAGTTTATAAAATGTCTGTGTGAGCAGAGATAGGAGTGGCACATTTCTTTCCATCAA